GTCGACAAGTCTGCACAGTGACGGACAAAATGTCACGTCACAATATATATATATATATTTTTATATTATATTATATAAAAATGTAACATTATATATAACATATATACAAAAATATAATAAAGAATTACAATATAATATAATAAAGTTTTTGAATATATAATATAATAAAATTTTGTGTGTGTGTGTGAATATAATATAATAAAGTTAAATATAATAAAGTTTTTTAAATATATATTATATTTATGTATTATAATATAAATGTGTGTACAATTTTTTTCATGTAATCCCTGCTCACATAAGTTGCGTTCAGCAGAGAAAATTATATTAGTTCTTGCCTTTAATTCTTCACTGGATCTAAGTGTAGGAATCAAAACTTCGGTATATACGCCACACCTCTATCAAAAACTTAATTTATTAATTATTATTTACTATGTTTAAAGTATAGGAACTATTAAAAACTTTGTACTGTCTACTACTATAAAAAAAAATTAGAAATCCGAAAAATTTATTTTTTGTATGAACATTTTACCCTTGCATTTTTACCGTATATCTCATAGGGGCGGGATACATGGCTATTCATTGGAGGAGAAGTATATACGGCTCATGAAAAATTTACAAACAATGTATATAAATAAGACGTAAAATGACACAACTTATAAAATGTATTTATAAAGTTTTTCTTATGTGGAAATTATTCGTACGCGCTCAAGATGAGTAACTGGAAAAATATTGCATACGAAAATTTTACATATAGTTATATATGGAATACGGTATATTCAAGAAGGGGAAGTAACGTGTTTTTTGTAGCACTGTTATCATTATCGTTATTTTATTATAATAAACATTTTATTATGACATTACAATTTCCATGATTGGAATAATAACGTTAGGCTTGAGAAGTATATTTGTCATTACATTCGTACATCAAGTAGAGTAGTAGACCGTAGCTTAGGAGATACAATTGACACAAATATCGTTCCATCCTTCTTGACATTCAATGCATAACAAAGACAAAACGATATTTGTGTCTCTTATAAAGGAAGCAGCCTATTGTTCGTTATATATATTGTAAAATATTACTCGTTACTATGAGTTTCTTTTTACTCGTTACGTAAGTAATGTAGTATGTTACATTGGCTATGATCAAAGTCTCGCTACAAATGCTTTGAAGCGTTTGATGGACCAATTAAACGAAAGAATTTTACAAACTGACCAATTATTAAAAAACGCTTCAATGCGTTTGCAGCATCGTGTTGACCGTACCATTGTATAACAAGTAACGCACAATACCATAGTAATGATAAATATATTTGTCAAGCCTAACGTTATTATTACAATCATGGAAATTGTAAT